CAGTAGAGTGTAAATATAGTAGGCCAATGACTTTTAGTTGATATTAAAGCACCGATTATTCCTTTCATCGAAAGGGCCCCATCTAGTATAGTTATAAGTGTAAGCAAGGCACGTAAATATATGACCAGATATCTTGTGCAACATAATATGTACCTACATAATATAACTACTCTATCTGATAATAAGTCTGTGTAAGCAACGTATGTACCTAATAATAATGATAATAAATAGCATTTGTATACCGCATAAACCCGCTCGACAGCAAGCTCTATGCGCTTTACATTATATTATTACCCCAGCAGACCATAGAACACTCAGAAACATTCTCAGCTCCCCAGGAAGCATACAGTGCAAGCAGCTGATTAAGCGCTCAAACACTAACAAACTGACAAGATCTTTCACTGTCTATAGCTGGGTACCCATTCCCACCAGGGTGAAGTGAGGAAAACTCGTGTAAAGTGCCTTTCCTAAGGACACAACATCGGGTCCCTGGCAGGATTCGTACCCACGACCTTACGGTTGCGAGTCCGAGAGTCCTACAGATATCTTATAGTAAGTCTGTGTGAGCGACGTATGTACCTACATGACCAAAGATCTTCTAGTGTGTCTGTGTGAAGTACTCTCGGCCTATAAATCTAGTTTAGTTTTGAAGAGGTTTTAAGGCACTCGCAACTGCATAAGGTCATGTGAGCGCCAGAAGATTAGAGGTGTTACAAGAGAGTAACAAACAAAAAAGAAGGAGGGGAGATAGAGACGATATATGTTTGATAGGAAAGAAGGAGCAAACCACACCAGAGCACCCACCAACCACCCACGCCTATAAATATCTTATTATACTTATAGTGTGTCGGTAGAAGCGACGTACGTACCTGCAGGACAAGATATCCCCAGAAAAACGAACCAAGAAGTAAACCTTGCAACTCTTTGCTCCATGTGAATTCTCCCGTCTGAGGAGGAGAAAGTGGGTGGGGGTTGGGGAGGGGAGATGAATGGTATAAATTGATTATAAATAAATGTTGTTCTATGGGTTGGGGTTGGGGTGTGGGTCGGTAGGGTAGGGGGATGAAAGGTATGGATGATAAAAGTTAAGTAGTTCTATTGTTTAGGGGGTGGGGGCACAAATTTGGGTTATTGTTTTACTGCTCAAAGACAGTCAAAGCTCAGCAAGGACACTGTTACAAGATTGACAGATGGACTGACAGATGGATAGGCACGCAAATAGACACACAGAATGAAAGACCAGCAGACAAACAGAAAAATGGACTGACACACAGGCACACAGACAGACTGACAGACACACAGACAGACATACAAACAGACACACAGACAGACAGATAGACAGACATACACACAGACAGACAGACATGCATACGTACACTCATGCAGACAGGAAAGAACACAGACAGACAGACAGGCGGACACACTGACAGACACATATACACATATACAGACTTACAAACACACACACACGAACAAACCTACTCACCGTATCTCCCTTCTTAGCCAGTCCCATTGCCTCACAGTAACCCTCATCCCCTGGTTGCAGGAGAGGGGCAAATGTGGTGGTCCAGGGCGTGCTGACCGCCGGTGGTACAAAGCTGCTGTTGGACACATTAACTACTGCACCACTGGCAAGCCCAGAGCCGATGTCATAACCCCAGGTACTGTTGCTGTAGAGGGAGAGAGTGGGTGGCTGGTGGGTGATGTGGTGTGGTTTGTTTCTTCTTTTCAATTAAACAACTATCGTCCTAGTCTATCTTTCTTCTTCCCTATCAAACAAAATATATCGTCCTTTTTTCTCCTCCGTCTTTCCTATCAAACAGCTATTGTCCTTATTCTGCTCCTTCTTTCCCCTCAAACATATATCGTCCGTTTCTCTCCTTCCTCATTCCTATCAAACATCTATCGTTCTCATATCTCCTTCTTTCTTGTCAAACAACTATAATTGTCCTTATCTCCCCTCCTTTCCAGTCAAACATCTATCTTTCTTAACTCTCCTTCTTTCCTATCAAACTTCTTTAGTCATAAACACAGCTCCTTCTTTCCTTTACCATGTGTGCTCACACGTCCAAGAGGTCACCGTGGTTTCCTCCCCTTTCTCCACCCTCTCCCCCATCTCTCTCACCCTCACTCACAGACTGATGACTATCCCCCTCCCCTCCATCCAACCTCTCCTCAGTCTCCCTCCTCCCCGCCCACTCACTTACCC